GTGTAAATGTCTGAGGAAAATAACAGTATAAATAGACAGAAAAAGGAAATAAATGAAAAAAAGAGAATGAAGAAAATTTAGTCCCCATTCTGAAGATTCTATGAACTTGCATTTTATTGTTTTTTCTGAGACCGACATTATTTGCACAAATCCATGATTTATTATCTTTTCTAAATGTATTTTTAACAATTTCTCTCTCTTAAAAGAAGTTTTTGGTGAGAAGAGAGAGAAAATAAAGGAGAAAAAAGATCTCATTATGCTAATGAGAACATCTTATTGAAGAATTTCACAATGTATCCTTGGGTTTTATTCAAGAAGTAGAGATGTCAGTCACCTTGTTTAGTTGGTAATGCTTAAAGGTGTTGAACAGGAAAATGTGCATTGTTGTTGTGTAACAGGGGAGGCACTCGATTGCTTGGTCTCTATACAGACCAGATTAGGGAAAGATGAAGAACTGTTGCCCCTGCTTTGGAGGGTATTAGAGATTCAAGAGGAGGAGATGGGTCCGGAGAGTGAAGAAGTGGTAACTACTCTAAAGAAGCTTGTGTTTTTCCTCAACAAATTGGGGAGGAAGACAGATATAATACCTCTAAAGCAAAGACTGTCAAAATTGAGAACCAAGTACAGGGATTGCATTCCGACTTAATTTATATTTTAGTTGTTAAATTGTTAGCAAGTGCTTAGCCCAGCCTTGGTAACTAAAAATTATGCCCACAGATATTCTATTCCCACGGAGTAGAATGAAGTTTTACTCCCTCCAGTAAAACCGCACCTAGAATTAATTTAAAGACCTTAAATTTGGGGGATGAACCTCTTCAACTTAAAAATTAACCTCAATAGAAATTTTTCCTAATTGTACCCCTCAATGTCCTCAATGTACTTGGAGGAAAAAAAAAAGTCAATTGAATAAAGATCATTCAATTTTTTTTATGGTGAAATCCGTGTGTTGGAAAACTCAAATTTCAAAAAAAAATTTCTCTCGAGAATTTTGCACTGAAAAAATCCTCCCAAGTGGTCTTCTTACCGAGGGAGTACAAGTAGACCATGCTCACGAGAGAGCATACGTGCTTAAAAATTTATGGATACCACCTGTCCTGCTAATCAACATAAAATTGATTTTTGGTATCAGTTATACTCTGTTGCCATGCATTTAGCAGTAAAAAAACATTTTAAATCTAAAATCATAGCTTTACCTGCTTAGTTGGAAACGATTTAGAATATTCCTTGTAAATTAGCCCGGTCTATAGAACCTAATTCATTCAAATGAATCAGTTCATTTGGCTCGACTTTAATATCCTCCACCCCACCATTCAATGAATCGATTTTCTCTTGCCCCGACTTACAATATACCATCAATAATCTCTCACTCATACAAATCTCTCCACCCCCGCCCCCTCTCTCTCCCCGTTTGCACAAGGATGCCGGTTAGCATGTGGCCAGCCTGCATATATGGAGTTCATGAATATGAAAAAAATACATTTTTTATAATTAAAATAAATAAATTTAAAATTTTAAAAATAATAATTATATTAAAACATTTGGATAGTTACTTGCAATTGTTTTTAGATGGATCACCTTTATACATCGGATCGGACAGTATATTGCAGTCAAGCCCGCATGAAACAATTGTAATTTGTACAATGGGGTAGACTGTTGGGGGCGATGTAAGATTGAAATCAATCCTGCAGCTCCTTAAATGCCGCCAACATCTCTCTCGCACACGCTGGAGTTAAAATTTCACGTTAATGCCGCCCAGATCTCTCTCGCGCACACACGCATATACTGCTGTAGTTTGATCAACACTGCAACCAGCAGTGGCAATATTTTCAAGCAGTAATATTTCAGCAGTTTCTCCCTCTTATATTTGCCAAAAGAAAGATGATGCTGGTCAATATGCACGACTCATCTTTTAAAATATTCCTACTAACAAAAGGTAGGCGCAGGAGTGACCCGGCCATTGAAAAAAACATGGGGCTCCTCTGTTAATTGCCTCAAATCCCAATTGATACAACACAAATTACGAAAGGAAAGCCTACTTAGAATTATTTATGTACACGTAAATGTTGTGGAAATGAGCTCTCTCCAATCATAACCTTCGTCCTGGTAGGAAACAGTATTTACAAAAATTGGCAAAACTTCAGCCAGGACCGGCAGACTTCATGATACTTCTTCACCCTCAGTGCGAACTCATCGTATCCATTGAAGTTTGAACTGAACCCATCTGCTGTCAACCATTTACAGTTGGTTCTGCATATTTCTAAGAAATCATTAATTTGGAGCATTTTCTTCCCTCATTCTTTGTAACTGCAATGGGAGATGCATCACCTTTAGCGTCTCTCTCTCTCTCTCAAAATCCAGCACCCTACCCACTCAAAAGAAAAACAAAAACATTGTGAGGCACCATGTCATTCAACCTGGTCACTGAAGAAGGGGAGCAGGATTTCATTCATCATGACGGAATATGGATCATCACAACTGTTAAAATGTCCGAGAGGAAATAAATCCCCCTTAATCATATCCGCTCATGTATGTGTGGCTGCATATTCCTCTATTCTCTGCCTCAGGAGCTGCACACCCACAAATAAAAGGGAAAAAAAAGGCATAACTTTCAATATTCTTATGCACATAAGAAAAAAATTGCTTAAATCACATATACTGATGGAGAAGCACCCATTTGATGCCATTACCTGCAACTCTTTGTGAAGCACAATAAATACTTTCTTCATCCGTATATGTCCCTGCATCATATCCCAAAAAGACCCAGGAATGCTGTAGTTTTAGGGATCTTGATATTTGCAGATTGCAGTACGAGAGAGAGAGAGAGAGAGAGAGAGAGAGAGAGAGAGAGAGAGAGAGAGAGAGAGAGAGAGAGAGAGAGTAGTAGTAGTAGTAGTAGTAGTAGTAGTTACGTTACGTTACGTTACGTTACGTTACGTTACGTTACGTTACGTTAGTTAACGTTAACGTTAACGTTAACGTTAACGTTAACGTTAACTTA